AGTTTATTTTCTATTTAAACATAAAAACAGCATTTTAATAACAGCTAAAGGTGACATAGATACTTTATTATGGTATAGTATTTAAAAATATGCCTGAGAAACACATAATATTGGCCCTTTAAAAGGAAAAAAATATTTCTTGTTCTTTTACATAAGGAAGTGTTTCACCTACCATTATCAAGCTTTGAGATAACTTTGGCCCACAGAGCAATTTAGTTGAATAGCCCTGGTGTATATGTATTTTCATGAAGAAAAAAAAATATGAAACATTTCTGTTTAGGCTTTTTGTTTGAATAACGTGTTTTGGATAAAACCTTTTAAAATGGACAGAGCTAGAAAAACATCTCCTTCCTATATCTAAGGTTTTAGGATTATTTATTCTCCAACACATACAGTAACTGTAATAAAGAAATGATAAGTTCAACTAGAGTAGGGAACTAAATTTGTCTTGACCTAAATTGACCTTTCCTTGACCCCATAGTGATCTAAAATGGTAAAAAAATCTCACTCGTCACAACCTAATCTTACAACCTGGAATGTTCCCAAACTCAAAATGACTTCTTCCTTTCTTCACCGTACCTACATCAATACTATTTACACTTTCAACAGTTTCATCTCCTAAGAAAGACATAAAATAATTGGACTTTTTCACCACCATGGTGTGCAAAAACACAATAGTCTTACACTGACAATGGCAGGCGAACAAATGAGGGATTATTCTGGAGGTGTGTGATGCCTCTCCTGCAATGAAGTTCCTCACACTCTATTCTGAGTGAATGCAGGTGACTCAGGGAGCCTGAGCTGATCCCAGAATTCCTCATTATCTGCCCGGCAGGGGGGATCAGGTCCGCTCGCTCTGTCTCGGAGCATGCTTGGCCCGATGAGACGAGCCCCAGAGGAGCACAGCGCTGGGCCATCAGGGGCAAGCCAGGTCTGCTCATTATATCTAACTCATCCTTGGCATCTCTGCAAACCAAGAGCCACTTAGTTCCCACAGGAGGGGTCTGGGCTGGACCACTGATGAGATGGCAGAGCAAACAGCAGAATGATAATGGGAAAAGCTTTACATCAAAAGACGTGTAGATACAGGTATCGCATCCTTGATTCCAACTTCTAAACGGGCGTTGACTCGGTCTTGTTTTGAGGGAATATCGTTTTCACAGCATGTCAAAGAAACAGAGATTAGTTTTCTGTAACTTTTTTAACCAAATCAATTCCAAGGATGATAATGACTCAATGAAAACGATAGATAGATAGATAGATAGATAGATAGATAGATAGATAGATAGATAGATAGATAGATAGATAGATAGATAGATAGATAGATAGATAGA